AAGTATAAACAAGTCCTAAATAAATGTAGAGCTGGAGTCAGAAGATTGGGAAGAGGAGGGAAGCTCTAGACTGTCTTTCAAACAGTGGTATTAGCAAAAGACACTTAATTTTCAATGCAGAACTCAATTAATTTATTTAAATAATTATATTAAGTAGTTGCCAGAATAGCAGGGAGTTGGAATCTATGTATATATATTGCCTTTATGACTTTTTCCAGTGATCACCATTCTCCTGACAAGCTGGCCTAGAGCTGATTGTGACCACACTACTCATAGGCAGCATCTTTTAAAGTGCCTGGAGGCACTACAACTATGTAATGCTTAAGGAGACTCCAAATGCTGAACGTTTCACAGGCCTTAACACCAATGACCTCTGCCTTGGCCCCTCATTGTCTGATTCGTGCTTAGCACCCAACTACGCCACCTCTCACTGAGAGCCTTAATGCGATTCAAACTGACTCATGAGATGTCTTATGTTTCAAAACTCTAAGAAAACCCTAATATATGCATATGAATTAACAACTACTTGAGTAACATGTCAAAAAGTAACGGCAAATGGGAACCATCATGAAATTTGAATGTCTTTCACTGTGGTTTCAGAGGCACTGGGACACGTGATAGATACCCTGTGTTTTTATTAGTGATTGAGGAGTGATGTAGATCAAGCACTGACAAAATAAAAATCAGCAAAGAGGTAATAATGAAGGGAAGTTGCAGGGAAAGTTTTATGCTGCTCAACACACTGAACCTGCTCAAAAAATTTTTGGTTTGTTACAGATTGTTTGCATTTGTTACAAATGCAAAGCCATACATCCAGCAAGCAGGCATTGCAGCTACACCTGCAGAACAGCGGGCTGTGAAGTGTTAAGCACTGCAAAGCCTTTACTGATTATAGAAAACTGACAACAAATACAAACTCTTTACGGAAAGCATTTTAGCCTCGGTGTTCAGCATCACTAAGGTTGCCTACAGTTCCTGTGTCTGTATTTTTAAAAAGAAATGGGGGGAGGGTACAGAAAATAGAAATAGCCAAAGGCTAGAAAAAATATTTGATAGTGAGAAACCTAAGATGATTAATCTGATTAGCTTATCAGAAGGCTAAGGGGTGACTTGCATTTAGTGACTTTACCTTCTGAAGAAAAAAAATACAGGACTCTAACAATGAAAGGCACAACAAAATTCAGTAACTGCAAATTAAAGCAAACAAGCTCACATTTTTGACAGTGAAGCATCAGTGTTTTGGAGCAGACTCATAGCTGCATGACTGGCTGCTCGCCTATCCGCTACGTGGTCTCTGGCTGCAGCTCTGGTTTAGGCTTCATGCCTTTACCTCTGGTAGGACAGAATTCTTCAGCCTTCAGACCAAGCTCCGGGTTACCATTTCATATTTACTGTATCGTCATTCACTTAAATACATCAAATAAATTCCCTTTTTGTGACTATGCAACTGGTGATCGGGATGAACAACCAGACAACTTTCTTGAAACCAACTTGTTATTTAATAGCAGGATGAGCATTCAAATCAAAACCAAAGGAACTGGCACATAATCTACATGCAATGGGTCTTACCAAAGCCTGAACTTCCTATGAAAGTGACCTCTTTTAGATATCTCAGTCACTGCCTTTATAAAGAGTACCTTCCTAGGTTATTTCCTTCGCAGTGATGAGTCCCTTTTTAAACTGTATCGACTCTAAGACTGCTTGTTCCCAGCCTTTTCCTCATTTAGGCACTGTTACCAATCTTCAGTCATGTACAACAGAGAGGCTTATATTACTCCCTTTGCTTACTTTCAACCATTAAATGGAATCAAAGTATTTTTAGATCAAACAACTTCACAAAGTTAACTTCTTTTTTTTTCATTTTTGCACAATGTGGCACATAAAAACAGGTGGCTTCTTGAAAAATATTGCTCTTTTTCAACACCGTATTCACATTTACAGATAACACATTTCAAAGTCTAATGCACAAGCTTCTGGGTGAAATGGTGAATTTTCCATTTCTGGAGGCAGGTGGATAACTCCAGCAAGTGACAGCTTCATCTTGGGTGCCAATATTCTCCCCGTACCCACTTTCATCATTTTTAGATCAGGTTCAATGTCTTCACTGTGATGAAGCTCTTATAAAGATTGCTGCCTCCACTACGAGTGGGATACGGAGCAATAACGAAACTGCGGCAGTTTATCTCCCAGAGGTATAGAAGTAAAACACCACCACTTACCTAAATAAACTGGGCTGTAAAGTGTGACAGTTCAATAGCAGCTTCGTGGGAATTTCAGCTATTCCTACAGGAAGAAAAATCCAGCCCTGGAGAGCAGAGGAGACAGAACAGAGCAGGGCACGAGCCCTCATAGGTGTGGTCAGTTAAACTGTCCCAGCTCGTCGGAAAGAACCCAGCCCCTTCTCAGCCTCTGGGGCGAACATGTTCAGCCCCCCCCGATTTAAGCTACTGGTACAGATTTCAAGCTCCAAGTTAATAATCTGATGAGCTGCAATGGAATGAATGCAAGTATGTAAATGTATAATCAGCCTTATTAAACTGAATGGGACTACTGTATCCTCAATTTGCATCTTAAAAGTCATCTGATAGTTTTCAGCGGTGTATATCAAGGTATGTCCAGCCTTGCTGATTCAGAACTTTAGAATATGGTGACACTGCAGATACCCGTAAACTAGCTTTGGTAATGAAACCTCTCTAATATCAGGTGCATGGAGCCCACTGAAACCACAGAAAGACCTTGGCGTTATGGAGAAGATATTCTGAACGGGGCCTGCAGTAGCATGATGTGTCCATTTGCACTGTTAAACAAATAAGAGAAAGAAGCCTCCATCTCCCTTTCCTTTTTTAAGAGTATTTATGTTTTCATTTTGTTTTTTCTTGTAAAATAATACTTCCAACTTTTAATTTTTGAAGCTGAAAATATCCTTGGAACCTGAGCCTTATTTCAGTTTTCAGTGCATGGATTCTTCCTGTGTTATTGGGTCCTATTCCCCCCGTAAACCATTTTACATTCTAGCTGGGCTCTCCTTATCATTCCCCTCCCTTTCATCTTCTGCCCACACAACATCTGTGGAGGGGGGAGAAATAAAAAAGAAAACACATACAATTATGGAACTGATATAGATTAGTATTTTTAGTATTCCAGGACTAAATTTTTGTCCTGGGTAGCCTAAGTAGCAGTTGTGTGTACTCTATCCTTTGAAAAAAGCTGTTTAAGTAGCACAACATTCAGAAAGTCTGTAACAAAGGATGTGAACCTTTAGCTACTGTCCTGGTTTCAGCTGGGACAGAGTTAATTTTCCTCCTAGTAGCTGGTATAGTGATGGGTTTTGGATTTAGGATGAGAATAATGTTGATAACACACTGATGTTTTAGTTGTTGCTAAGTAGTGCTTACACTAGTCAAGGACTTTTCAGCTTCTTGTGCTCAGAAGAAAGAAGGCGGGGACAGTCGGAGTGATGGTGTTTTGTGTTCCCAAGTAACCGTTACGCGTGATGGAGCCCTGCTTTTCTGGGGATGGCTGAACACCTGCCTGCCCATGGGAAGCAGCGAATGAATTCCTTGTTTTGTTTTGCTTGCGTGCGCGGCTTTTGCTTTGCCTATTAAACTGTCTTTATCTCAACTCATGAGTTTTCTCACTTTTACCCTTCTGATTCTCTCCCCCATCCCACCGGGGGGGAGTGAGCAAGCCGCTGTGTGGTGCTTAGTTGCCGGCTGGGGTTAAACCCCGACAGCTACCAACAACTAGGCTACTGGCTGACACTATTTCAGCTTCTCATTTTGTAGTTGTTGTAAATAAGCCTAAAATAAACATGCACCACCACCGGCTCTAGTCACCTTCCTCATGTCACCCAAATTACAGAAAGCTATAGAATCTGTTTTTTTTTAGAACACCTCCATAACAGTTTGTGGACATCAACTAAAAAAAGGTACTGTGAGATTCAGTACTCCTGCCTAACAGATGGAGAAATTGAGACAAAGGCAAAATTACTTTTTCAAGATTATACAGCAAGTCAATGGCAGAGTACAATTACAATTCAGAGCCTTCTAGTTTCTAATCCTATAATCCTCTTTCCAAAATCTATTAGCACAACCAAATATGCTGTTTCAGTGATGGCCATGAAGGCTCCATTCTTTTGAACACTCCACCCCAGGTATCACAAACTGACTGTTCAGATGATGACACATGAATAATTTACAACCATATTAAGCATCTGAATTCAAATTACTTCACATCTCAAGTTTCTCACTAGCAGTGCTAAATTCAATGGCTTTAATTGTGAAACAATTTTTCCTGATTATAAGGTGTTGAAATAGGCTGCTGAGTCAGCATTGCATAAAAACTTAAGTCTTAAGCTAAAGGAGGAGATGAAAACATAGTAATTTGTGCCCCCCTCTGCTGTACAGTAATCATATTCCTGAATTTCACTCCTTGTTGCTGAGCGTAGACTGCATTTAACAGACACCAGCCTGGCGTGAGTAAATCTGGCCCTGACTCCCACACACTACTGCATTCAAAAAGTCTGGCCAGAGATCGACTGCTGCTCCGAGCCCTGGCAGCTCGTACTCGAGGTCTCTCTCTTCGTCATCTGATGTTGCTCTTGGCAAGCGAGCCCTTGTTTGAACACCTCCCCAGTGACCCACCAGCACAATTTGTCTTGGACCAGAGAGCTGCCCCTTTTTTCAGACAGAACCAAGGGGCTGGGTGAACTGTTTGGGAGGCGGTAAGACCAGCTGCCCGTTACCTTTCCTAAAAAAACACTGCTGCAGACCCTCACTTCATCTGATGGCCAACTCATTTAATCCACAGCTCAGTGCTTGCGCGTTCCTCACAATCCTCCAGGAAAGCGGGTAGGCCTGGAAATCGCTGCCTTTTCCGGACATACATACACTGTTTACCTTAAAGGTGCACTAATAGGTACACTCACGAGGTATCACAGGGGTTCACAGCATACAGGCCTTTTCTTCTGCTGGAACACAATACACAGCGCACACCTAGAAATGCGTATTATTAACTCCAACCTGAGAATTAAAGCTTTTAAAATCTCCAACTGCCTAGACTACGTAGCTGGCAAAGTGCGTTAAAGGTGTAAAACTTTTCCAAGAAATTCGTCTGCTTACATTTTATTTACGTGCACAAGCTACAGGTATTTATAAAGTAGTTGTTCTTATTTGTGAGTGCCTAAACTTCAACCAAACCTTTTGAAGTGCAGCAAGTTTTCCACTACTTCAAGGTTCTTTGGTTTTGAGGAAGCTTTTCCATTTTGAATGTCTGTCTCCCTTTAGTTAGATGCAGCTAGCCATGTCTCTTCTCCCTCATTGCCACGAACTTGTCTGACTCCCCTCAAGATGGATGTATGTTAACTAACCTGCTCCTCTCTCTCCACACCCGCATTTCCAGTGATGAGAGAGAGGAGTGAAAAGACAGACTGCCCAGCACGTGGGAACCAGCCAGTAACGATTGCCTCTGGGTTGCTTAGCCACAGCTTTCCAGGCTTAGCTTTTCTCATTGTCCACCAAGCACCCAGTAAAAAAAGATGTAATTATGAAAGTTACGGCACTTTTAAAGTTGTAGGATTATAACCGGGCAGAAAAGTCCTTCAGGACATCACACTATCCAATGTTACAGCAACCTCAAACACAGTGCTCAACTAATTTCACCTCTTCTAAATTGGGGACAGCTCTCTTACAGTACTCTGGCAAACTCGTAGCAGTAACTTGTTATTTGTCCAAAAGTTTAGTTTGGTACCTTGTGTTGAGAACTTGTGGTTCACAGGAAGATCGAACACTCCTGCCTCAAGCACAGCCATACCCAGAAGCATGAGGAAGGCCTTTGGGGACTGTAGCAGTTTTGGCTAATTGTAATTCATGGTACCAGCCCATTAGGCTTTGCATTCAACAGGATGCTTGGCTACGGGACCTCTGAGGCATTACTGTTCCCAGGCATTCTCCCCAGAGCTCTATGACAAGAGAATTGTTTCAATGGATACAGGAAAAGTTGTGTTAAAAAAAAAGGAAAAAAAAAAGTATAATTCTAAAGCCTCCTCGATTTATGTGAGTGAGCCTAAAGCTTGGCAGAAACATAAGGCAAATTAGTTGGAATCTGAAATTACTATTTTTATCTTCTTTGCTGTAGACACCTACACAAAATGGTTTGCAAACTCCACTCAAAAGGCAATGGTTCCTAGGTATTGCCTTTTTATTTGGGTTAAGGTTCGGGAAACTGTAGAATAGTAGGTACATCAGAAACATCAGAGGACTTCTCTGAAGGAAGAGGAGGCTAAGAATACTTCCAAATACACTGTGAATGGTCGATATACCATATACCACTTTAGACACTAAAACTTAAAAAACTGTTGACTACTTTATACCAATTAAAATATCACCATCTCCCCTCAAAACCCACCATAAGCAGCAAGGGTTATTCACATTGGCATTACTGAAGCTACATGGGATTATGTCTGCTGCAACTCAAAATAAATTTTTACCTCACCTATGAACCAAAAGCTAGAACATCATCTTTCAATGCAACATATTTAATATTGACACTTAAGAGCCCACCTGAGTTTGAAACTATTGGTTCTGTTATCACAGCTTTCAACATCTAGTTTTGTTTTTTTTAAAAAAGATTCACTGTGAATTGTAATAATGCACAATCAGCGGTGTTTATTTTCATTTTGCTTTAATTAAACACAAATGCAGCCCAGATGATTCAGCTTCTCCCTTACTAGCTTAACAGCGAGGTGACTCTAAGTAAGGCTCCAGGGCTAAGATGACAAGAGGTCCTGAAAGCCACGGCTTCCCATTTCAGTTCTCGGCGTCCATGGTCTGAAGTTAGGGCAAGGGCCGGCAAGAGCTGAACCCGCTCTGCGTCAGCGTTAAGTTGAAGCGTTGTCACCTGCACCGTTCTGCGATGCGTCCCCGGCAGCCAGCTCTCACCGGGCAGCCAGGGAAGAGGGAGCAGGGACGCAGCAAGCAGGACCCGAGGGACGAGCACCGCGTTAACCCTCCCCGCTCCGGGGCCCCGCAGCGGCGCTCCCCGCCGGGAGAGGCCGCCGGCCCCGGGCCTCCAGCGTGCGCTTGTTGGGCCGCGGGG